GTTGTTGTTTTTTTGTTTTGTTGTTGTTGCTGTTGTTGTTGCGGCTGCTGTTGTTGCTGTTGTTTTTGCTGCTGTTGTTTTTGTTGTTGCTAGTGTTGTTTTTTGTTGTTGCTGTTGCTTTTTTGCTTTTGCTGTTGTTGTTGTTGCTGTTGTTTTTTTGTTGTTGTTTCTGTTTTTGTTGTAGTTGATGTTGTTGCTGTTGTTTTTGCTGCTGCTGTTGTTGTTGCGGCTGCTGTTGTTGCTGCTGTTTTTGCTGCTGTTGTTTTTGTTGTTGCTAGTGTTGTTTTTTGTTGTTGCTGTTGCTTTTTTGCTTTTGCTGTTGTTGTTGTTGTTGCTGTTGTTTTTTTTTTGTTTGTTGTTGTTGCTGTTTTTGTTGTAGTTGATGTTGTTGCTGTTGTTTTTTTTATGGTTGCTGCTGTTGTTGTTGCTGTTGTTTTTGCTGCTGTTGCTGTTGTTTTTGTTGTTGCTAGTGTTGTTTTTTGTTGTTGCTGTTGCTTTTTTGCTTTTGCTGTTGTTGTTGTTGTTGCTGTTGTTTTTTTTTTGTTTGTTGTTGTTGCTGTTTTTGTTGTAGTTGATGTTGTTGCTGTTGTTTTTTTTATGGTTGCTGCTGTTGTTGTTGCTGTTGTTTTTGTTGTTGCTAGTGTTGTTTTTTGTTGTTGCTGTTGCTTTTTTGCTTTTGCTGTTGTTGTTGTTGTTGCTGTTGTTTTTTTTGTTTGTTGTTGTTGCTGTTTTTGTTGTAGTTGATGTTGTTGCTGTTGTTTTTTTATGGTTGCTGCTGTTGATGTTGCTGTTGTTTTTGCTGTTGCTGTTGCTGTTGCGGCTGTTGTTTTTGTTGTTGCTATTGTTGTTGCTGCTGTTGTTGCTTTTTGCTTTTGCTGTTGTTGTTGTTGCTGCTGTTGTTTTATTGTTTTTGCTGTTGCTTTTTGCTTTTGCTGTTGTTGCTGCTGTTTTTGTTGTTGCTGTTCTTGTGTTCTTGTTTTTGCTGCTGCTGTTGACGTTGCTGTTGTTTTTGTTGTTGCTGTTTTTGTGTTGGTGTTGTTTTTCCTGCTGCTGTTGTTGTTTTTTGTTGTTACTGTTGCTTTTTGCTTTTGCTGCTGCTGTTGTTGTTTTTGTTGTTTTTTCTGCTGATGTTGATGTTGCTATTTTTGCTGTCGCTGTTGTTGCTTATTTTGTTGCTGTTGTTGTTGTTGTTGTTTTTTGTTGTTGCTGTTGTTTTTCCTGCTGCTGTTGGTTTTTGTTGTTGTTGCTGTTATTGTTGTTGTAGTTGCTGATGTTGCTACTGTTGTTGTTGCTGCTGTTGATTTTGCTGCTACTGTTGTTGTTGCTGTTGTTTTTGTTGTTGCTGTTGTTTTTGGTGTTGCTGTTTTTGGGGTAGGGCGAAGCAGTGGCGCAGTAGGTAGTGCTGTCGCCTCACGGCAAGAAGGTCGCTGGGTCGAACCTCGGCTCAGTTGGCGTTTCTGTGTGGAGTTTGCATGTTCTCCCTGTGTTCGCGTGGGTTTCCTCCGGGTGCTCCGGTTTCCCCCACAGTCCAAAGACATGCTGCAGGTGAATTGGGTAGGATAAATTGTTCGTATTGTATGAGTGTGTGTGTGAATGTGTGTGTGGATGTTTCCCAGAGATGGGTTGTGGCTGGAAGGACATCTGCTGCGTAAAAAAAAAAAAAAAAAAAAACTTGCTGGATAAGTTGGCGGTTCATTCCCCTGTGGCAACCCCGGATTAATAAAGGGACCAAGCCGACAAGAAAATGAATGAATGAATGAAGGTTTTTGGCGTTGTTTTTGCTGTTATTGATGTTATTTTTGTTGTTGTTGCTGCTGTTGTTTTGTTGTTGTTTCTGCTGTTGTTGTTTTTTATTGCTGCTGCTGTTGTTGTTGCTGTTGTTTTTGGTTGCTTTTTTGTTGTTGTTTGTGGTTACTTTTTTGTTGTTACTTTTTTTTGTTGCTGTATTTTGTTGCTGTTTTTTTGTTGCTGTTTTTTTGTTGCTGTTTTTGGCGTTGTTTTTGCTGTTATTGATGGTGTTTTTGTTGTTGCTGCTGTTGTTGTGTTGTTGTTGCTGTTTTTGTGTTATTGTTGCTGCTGCTGTTGTTGTTGTTGCTTTTTTATTGCTGTTGCTGCTGTTGTTGTGTTGTTGTTGCTGTTGTTGTTTTTGGTTGCTTTTTTGTTGTTGTTTGTGGTTACTTTTTTGTTGCTGTTTTTTGTTGTTGCTGTTTTTTGTTGTTGCTGTTTTTTGTTGTTGTTGCTACTATTTTGTTTGTTGTTAATGATCAAAGCTTGAAAAGTGTTAGACTAAATAAATAAATAATTCCTATTAGATGTTTTATATTGCGAGACAGGCTTTTCCTTCCCGCCCGTAAAACCAGCACAAAATATCCAGCAGATCTTTTATACATGAGGCGCTTCCATGTTGATATAAACAGTAAAACAAAAGGACTGAGATAAATTGAGACAAGAGTTATTGCTGTGTCTGCATGAGCTATTTCTCTTACAGACGACAGTGTGTTGACGAAGGACTGCTGGCGAGGACATCTTGTTTGGAAAACTAAATTAGAGCAGAAAAGAATGAATGTCTTCCTGCTCGCTCATCAGACTGACTGATTGACTGAGAACAAGAGATCGTCTCATGTCAAATGCAAACAGGTGCCTAATGAAAATAAATGCCCATTAAGGTATGAAGTACAGGGAGGAGGGAAATGAAAGTTGGCACTGCAGACAAGTGGGATGTGAATCATGGTTCAGAGGAGCGTGTTATGGATGTGCGCAGTTACGGTGAGGGATGTTAGACAGCATCAGGTCTGAGCTGATCAGATTTTTCAGTAAGTCATTCAATAGAGTAAATTGAAGCTGAATTTATTTGACATTAAAGTGGGCGACACAGTGGCTTAGCACTGTCACCTCACAGCAAGAAGGTTGCTGGTTCGAGACCCGGCTGTGTCAGTTGGCTTTTCTGTGTGGAGTTTGCATGTTCTCCCCATGTTGGTGTGGGTTTTCTCCAAGTGCTCCGGTTTCCCCCACCGTCCAAACACATGAGCTATAGGGGAATTGAAAAAATTTAATTGGCCGTAGTGAATGATTGTGTATGGGTGTTTCCTAGTACTGGGTTGCATCTGGAAGGTCATCCAGTGTGTAAAACATATTCTGGAATAGTTGGTGGTTCGTTCCACTGTGGCGACCCCTGATGAATAAAGGGACTCAGCTGAAGAAAAATTGATGAATTACATCTCAAAGTACTTTCGCAAGACAAGCACGAAAGAAACACTTCTGCCAGCTCTTGAGTCATCAATGTTTTTTGAACTATTACCGTACGTTCACACCGAAAGCGGCGAAAGCGTCCAAGGTCGCTCTGGCCGCCCCGGCGACAACGCTCTCTGCCTTCAGCTCCTGCGGCGAGAGCGTCAAAACTCGCTACATTGATCTCATATTTAAAGGAGCCGTTGCAGCATATCAGTTACATTCCTGCATAAAACATGTTTCTAGCGTGAAAATGTTGCGCACTTCTTATCAAATTCATACAACAATGGAAAATCAAGTTGCGTGTGGTGTGGCTTTGCTCTATTTATCCAATATGTGTCCATATGTCTGAAATATCCTGAAGCAGCAGTACTGTTTTGTACTGTCACATCGCGTGAGATTCCCGCTTTTTTAAGATAAATTTATATATCATTAATGAACATCAGTAACTCGCCAGTAACTTATTTAATGTATGTTCCTTTAGGAAAAAATTGTAAATAATTGGAAATCCGACGACCGCAATAATCAAACCCTTGGGAACCACTTTGGTCGGAACCAAAGTTCACAGGTCTGTGTTCTCTGAACTGCTATCAAGCGATGGACGTCTTCATTCTGATTGCTTGCCGCCGAACCGCGTCATACCTTATTACCATAAAGTTGACTTCATTTCAACTCTCCTCGACGCTCTCACGCCGGCGAAGACGCGCCACGCTGCTCCTCGCCGCCCCTTGCCGCCGGCTCTCATTGAAAATGAATGACTTCCGGCTACTTTGACGCTCTCGCCGCTTTCGGTGTGAACGTACGGGAACGCTTCTGAAGCGGCGCCGACGGATCCACAATGCAGTTCGGCAACGCCTGACGTCACCCATTCAAAGTGAATGGGAAGCGTTGACGCTGACGCCCCGTGTGAATAGGGCGTGAACGTACGGTTACTTTCATACAGATTGTTTTCATATCATAAATCATCATATTTTTCCATTATTTGCATTCACTTGAGCATATACTCAAAAAACCATCAGGAACTCTAAGTATTACACCTGACTTTGCATCTGACAGACTGCTGAATCTTTCAGCTGGACATCTAACACCTTCTGTCTGTGTTCTCGGGGCAGAAGATGAAGAAAAAAAAGAAGATTTTTCAGCAGATTCACCTTATCATCCGAACTCTTCTGACACTTTCCTCTGAACTGTGACGGTCTTTGTGAACAAGAACAGAAGTAGAGTCCGACTGCAGGACTCTCTCTCTCTTTCTTTGTGTCTGTCTGTGTTTATCTCTGGTGTCTCCCTCTCTGTCATTCTGTGTGGTTTATAAAAGGAAGCTCCGTCAAGCAGATGTCAGTCAATTGTCAATGCAATTAATGCATGTTTTGTGTCAGAACAACAACAACTAATTCACTCTCTGAATAGTGCATAGAATGATATACTGTTGAAATCAATTAAGGTAAACACTGGAAAATTACTTTTTGCAATAGAGTTTTTATTTTTTCTCTTTACTGTAAAAAAAAAAATAATTACCTTAAAATTGTAAGGCAACCTAATTTTTAGACGTCCTAGTCCTTTTATTTTTTTTATATTTTTTACAGTGTACAGTACTCCTGCAACAGTTTTGTGTAAGTGTGTGCTTAATATTTACGATCACACAGCAGCTTTAAGTTTTTATATCTTGGCAGAGCACACCACACAAAAAGACCCACGTGTTGTTTAATCAGCTCAAAACAGCGAGCGGATGTCAAAGGAAATGATTAATATCCCCCAACAAGAAATGGCTTTTCCTCTCTAAAACGGCTCTGCTCATCCACACACACACACATTCATGACCCGAAGTACAAGACTGAGTTTTCGACAGGCATGAAATAACAGTGAGTTTAATAGACTGTGCTGTCTGTTTGCTGAGGTAAGCGCTACTGTAATGGCTTTGGATCAGTATTGAATGGTTTTTCCAATTATTATGCGGTGTGCTTCAGTTTGGGCTCGTACAGTAAAGGTGCTCCTCCCTCAGGCTACAGCCGGCATTAAACTGCTGCAAAGCATCTGCTCTGGTGTTATTAGCTCTTATTAAACCTGGAGCTAAATGAATGTTAGCTTTCAGCACTCTTTTAGACACTGTAAATTAAGAATAATGTCAGTAAAACCTTCGAGTCGTGCATTTAAAGCATGCAGCTTATTTTATCTATCAGTAAATTTGCTGTAATGTTAATTTTCAGTAATTAAAACAAACTACAATAAAATAATTGTAATGTTATTATATTGTAAAATTAATTTGTGGTAAAGATGTTTTTACAGTAAACGGAAATTGCGGCAGTAGCATAGTACTGTAAAAAAAAGTCTAACAGTGTACTACTAAATTGCAGTAAAAGTGTTGTAATGTTATTATACTGTAAAATTAATTTGTGGTAAAGATATTTTTAAGAAAATACTTTACATTTACAGTATCTGGCAGCTGCCAGTGTGTTACAGCAAAAATGCGATTAAAAGTCTAACAGTGTAGGCTAGGTGTGTGTGTGGGACCCAGCATTTTTACAGTGTACTTGGATTTTCACACACAACCATCTCCAGGGTGCAAAGACAGAGAAAATATCCAGTTCCATTCGAACAAATGTGTTGATGACAGAGGTCAGTTTCAGCTGACAGAAGGACAACAGTGACTCAAATAACCACTTGATATAACAGAGTACTGCAGAAGTAGAGATATCTGTGACACTCCAGTGAGATAAGAACAGCGAACTGGGACTGTAATTCACACAAAACTTCACAATGGAGGACGATAAAGGTTCACTGATCTGATGAGTCTCGGCTTCTGCTGTGACATCTGGCTGATGGGGTCAGAATGTAATTTAACCAGTATGAAAACAGATCTATCCTGTCTTGTGTCAACGATTGGTGGTTTCTGTTGGTGTAGTGAAGTGAGTTTTAAATCCATGGCACACTTTGGGCTATTTTAGTACTAATCTGATCGTTAATTAATGCTTTGATATTTGGCACTTGTGATGTCCGGTTGAAACTCACACTCTTCTACTTATACAGTCAAATCCTCTGAGACCTTACCTTCGTTTTCCACTTTTCAATTAGGCTATAATCCGGGTATCTTTCATCCAATCCATATCCGTTTTCAAACAAAACAAGAAAAATAAAGAAAACGGCCATTTTTCCGTTTGTCCTTTGCTCACAAAAAAACGTAAAAAAGAGATTTTCAGCTTTTTAATTAGGGTAGAAAAACGGAATTACCATTTTAAAATTCATTATACACATGTAGGCGGTGCTAAAACACCCATTTTTCTCTGATTGGTCAACCAAATATGAGCTTGTGATGTAGCCCTCAAAATAAGAGCCCTCTGTAGACCAGCACCCAGGCTTGTAATTATTATTATTATTTAATTACATATATAAACTAATTTTACATATTCTGTCATTTGATCAGTTAGCAGGCTTACATTCATCGCGTATCCATAAATGAAATGAAAACGTAAATTAGCAGTATTATTAGACGTTTGTGATTAAAATAAGGTCAAAGTTCGCTGCCAAATGCCTTGCAGCTGTGCACCTGATGCTGAGCAAAGATAACAATTTCCAAGCATGCCTATATAATAATAATGATAATAATAATAATAATAACAACAACAATAATAACAACAATAATAATAATAATAATAATAATAACAATGATAATATATGCCTTGTCTTGCTGTTGTGCACCTGATGCTGAGCAAAGACAGCCATTTGTGAGCAGCACCTGGTTCGCATGATTATTTCCGAACTACTGTAGGCCTAAATAAAAATAAATTAATAAATAATAATAATATTATAATAATATTCACTTGTTTTAAATTGTTTAGTTTTTTTAAATAGTTTTTAGCAGGACCAGAAAAAAAACGCATTGGGCCCAGTTGCTATAACAAAGGGTAGCCTACTATTATTTTTATTTCCTTCTATTGATTTTAATTTGGATATATATATATATATATATATATATATATATATATATATATATATATATATATATATATATATATATATATATATATATATATATATATATATATATATATATATATATATATATATATGTATAAAAATTTTTTTTTTTTTTTTTTTTTCTCTATATATATAAAAAAAAAAAAAAAAAAAAAAAAAAAAAAAAAAAAAAAAAAAAAATATATATATATATATATATATATATATATATATATATACATATATACATATATATACACACGCGCGCACGCACGTGCGCGTGTATATGCACACACACGCGCACGCGCACGCGCGCGCGCGCGCACACGCGCGCGCGCGCGCGCGCGCGCGCGCGCGCGT